CTTGCACTTTTAACCAACTGAGCCACTCGGCCGGTCTTTTTTTTTTTTTTTTTGAGCTGAGCCAGCCTGCCACCTGTTGGCAGCTCAGCAGCAGCTCAGCTCAGGCCAGGAATCGAACTGCTGTTGCTCAGAGCTCGCCCTCTTGAGTGAGCTCTTAGCCAACTGAGCCACTCGGCCGGCCCCACATGGCCCTTTTTAGATAAAGATCTTGAACAGCCTTCAGTTAATTATCAAAGACACACAAGCTTCTCACGTCAGTTCTGGCACCTTCAGAGAAAGCCAGGTAAGAAGTCGGCCCAAAACGGAACACAGGTCATGACCGAGTGCCCAAGGACTTCGGGCATCCCTCTCTCCCTTTTTCCCAGCCTGCAACTCAAAGCCAAAGGACTTGGGTACACACAGACCGGCTAGACAGACCTTCCCCCCTTACCCAGCCCGCCCCCCAGGTGCACTGACTGCATTCTGCTCCAGCCATCCTCAGCGCCCCAGCACACCAAATCAATCCACTCTCCCCCATCTCATTGGAAGTCAGATTCACTTGAGAATCTTGAAATCCAAAGTGTATGGCAGAGAGAACACACTGGGATGGGCCAATGGTTGAAAGGGAATTTGCAACACAATCAATTTAATGGAAACCAAGGGCTGGGTTGTACACAGAGAATATCTTTGGGGACAAAAACTTTCTGAGAGGGTCTTGTCAGTGACAAGGACATCCAAGTAGGTAAACACAGGTGGAAGAGCAAAGGCTTTGAGAGCTTCTAAGAAATGCTTCGTGCCCACCCCCACGCCCACGCCCACGCCCACCCAGATTCAGACCTATGTCTCTACAGACGTTGATGAACAGAGAAGTGTCCGGGTCAGAGTCATCCACCAGGTAAGCGCCACGAATCTTGATGAGTGGATTTAAATCATGCTTCTTCAAGTCTCGATCAAATGCATAGCACGGAACCTGGAAGGGAAGAGAGAAAGTGAAGTCTTCAACACACACCTTCCTGGGGCCAGTGGCTCAGCAAAGCCTATGACCAAGGTCACGTAACACCAGTCTCCAGTGCTCAGGGCCTACAAGCCGTGCTGTCCCCGACAAAGCGAAGGCTGACGAGCACTTCGGCAGCTGCACAGTCAGTTCTCTTCTCCCCGTGCCAGACCTCTGCTTCTGCAGTCATCTCTGCTCATGGGCATCACCCGCTTTTCCCGCCCCATGCAGGAGTACCAACCACCTTCTAAATGTCCTCCCTTGTCCCTCCGCCCGCTCGGCTATCATCGCAGAGCGGGGCGATTTACAGCTGTTCATCCTCATCATCCCCTCTTCCTCCTCCCCTTCCGTTCCCTCCTGAATGCAGTCACAGCAAACTGCTGTCCCCACTCCTGCCAGCTCACCACGGACCGCCAGTCAGATCCGATGTCCATTCTCAGCGTTCCCTTTGCTGGGCTCACAGTGACACTGGATGCCACTGACCCTGCCGTCCTGCCCCAAACCCTGTCTTCACCGTGCTGCCTGGTGCCCCAAGGGCTCCTGGTTTCCCTCTGCGCACTACCTGCTCTACTCAGCTTCCTGGAACATTCCCCATCTCCCTTCTACCTAACTTCAAATGCAGAGGCTTCACACCTGACTTCTCGGACCACATCCCTGTCTGCGCTCATGCCCTGGGTGATCTCATGCGCTGCGTTCACTACCCACCACCGATTCCCAGATGCACGTCTCTAGCCGTGACTTTGCCTCCCCACTCCTGCTCTCGCAGACAACCACAGCAGAATCTGCGTTTACAAACAGACTCAAGAGAGAATGCTGTGTCCAAAATCTGGTGCTGACACTTAGGATGACCACGAGCCAATCTAACCCCTGTGCCTCAGAGTCCCCATGTGTCCCGTCAGTAATGGTGCCACAGAGCTGCTGTAAGGACTGAATGGGTTAAGACATGTAAAGTTCATGGTACAGCTCCTGGCTGTACAAGTTGGTACGATGCTATTTGTTGTAGTTGCTATTTATCATTGTCACTTAGACACACAAAAGCATCTCAAATATAACATATTTAAAACGGGACTTTAATTTCTCTCCCGAAACCTGCTCTTACCCAGTGCTCCCCTTCTCAGCATGCTGCCGTCCCTCGGCCAGTTGCTCAGGCCAAAACCTTCAAGTCATCTTAGACCCCCCACAGTCCACATCCCAACCGTGAGCAAGTCCTGTTGGTTCTGCCCTCAAACCAGATTCTGGATCTACTCACTCCTCGCCCTCATCAAACTACCATAATCTCTTCCTGCTATCGTCTCTTTGAACTGCTCCCTGCTTCCAGATTACAAGCCCGCTACCCTGCAGCCTGTGTCCCCACAACCACCAGCTCAATCCTTTCAAAATGACATCAGGTCACATCATTCCCTGCTCAAAATCTACCACTGGCTTCCATCACATGGAGAACATCCCTTCCGACCACTGCACGCAGCCTCACGGCCGCAGGTGCAGCTCCCTCTACCTGGAATGCGTTTCCCAGATAGCCGCATGGCTCTCTCTCAACGTTGTCCAGGTCACCTGCTCTGCGAGGCCTTTTCTGATATCATCATCTAAAGTGGCGCTCTCCACCTCTCCCTGTGCCTTGCCCGGCCTTGTTTTTCTTCACAGCACTGACATGCGTTAACATGGACTACCGTGTGCTGACTTGTCGGCTTCCTCTCAAACAGTGCACGCTCCCTGGGGCAGGGGCTTTGGCGCTGCTGTGGCCCTAAGAAAGGCTTGGGGCAATGCCCAGACCCTCACATCTGTTCAGTAACATATGAAGACCACTTCCTCCTCTGGGTATCTCGTCCCCCCCTTGCTGGGCTCTCACGTATAACCACTCTCATCTCTGTGAACTAATGGCCTCTTCCTTCTAAAATGTCAGGGAACCCATTACAGCTGGCAAGACCCTGTGCTTTAAAGGTTCCACATATTTCTGAAGGTAACACACTCCAGCCCAGAGATGTGCCCAAGGTCACCTCCTTACCACCCCCTCCTGCTATGTCTTCATTGGAAACACCCGTGAGCCTTACTTCCAAAATAATACACTGGCATCACGTTAATCGCCCCTGCAAAGGAATGTTCTAAAAACTCATGTTTTCGGCAATCATTTCAAAGTCGTCTGCTTCATCATCTTCTATAGATAATTTTCCTAAAATTTTGTCTTTTCAGTTGCAGGTATTCACAGGCAGGTTTACAAAGATTAACTGTTTAATCTTTAGCTTTCAAATTTTTCTTAGAAAGATGCTATCAAACCTACAGGAATGCTCCGACCCAATGACCTTTTTCCCCGGTCCTGTGTTGCGAGATTTCATGGCGAGCGAATGGATTAAATCAAACAATCCATACCTCCTCACAGCCTCAGGAAACACATGAACTCATTCCAACCAGATCCTAAACACAAAGTCTCCATGGCCTACAATGCTGATCAGAGATCCCGCTGACAACCGAGGGGGTTGGCACGTCTGGCATGACGCACGCGGAGCCGGCAGATCTGAAGGCCAGATGCCAAGCGTAACGCTACGTCCCACCGAGAGGCCATGAGAAGAAAGGTATTCCTGCAGGCCGTCACTAGGTTCTAGTGAAAGTAACCACAGTGTCCACCATCCTGCACATCTAAGACCTGCCCGCCCCCAACAAGGAATACAGAATCACTAACTCGAGAGGGGAGCGACTCGGCTGATAGGTCAGAATGGGGGACAAGCGGCACCTCTGCAGCTACACAAGGAAAGCAGGCTGGCCCACGGCTGGGGGGGAAGATGGGGCCCCGCTTGAAGGAACTCGCAGTTCTGAACCAGCTCAATTCCACCAAGAGGCTTGAGGGATTCCAGGAAATGAGGCCCCACAGACACCCAGCTCAAGGCCGTTAGCCACCTCTGGCCGGCTCCCCACTCCAGGAAGGACTAGCAGACACACCCAACGCAGCGCGCCACAGACCTGGAGTGTGCCTCCGAAAGGCAGCCCAGGCTCCGGGGGGGAGAGTCCTCCCACTTCCTGCTCCACTGAGCAAAGCAATGGAAACATTCATGAGAGCCTGGCCAGAGCAGCCGGGGGAGGGAGGTGTTTGCCAGCTCCACGCTCCACACACTGAATCAACCTTGTTACAAACTGCTGTGTGTATGTTAACCGTATTTATGTAACTCTGGTAAGTTCTGAATTTTCTGTTCCCACGAGTGCTATGGTAGGGGACATATATCCACAATGTTTTAAAGAAATTAGTATCTAAAAAAAACACCTACCAAATCCACCGAACAACACTGTAGCAGCGGCTATGTTAAAAGGCACTGTGTGGCGCCACCGTGACCTTTGACCAAAGCATTCTAAATCTGACAAGGTAACACTAACAAAAGAAGTGAGGAGCCATCAATCAGGTGTGGAAGTCAAGATTACACTGACTCTAAGCCAAATCTGGATTTTTTTTTTTAAGGAATGCAGAATGTTTTACAAGTCCATAAAACATTTAACGTAATTTTTTGAAGTTATACCATAGCCTGTAGGTGTAATCAAATCCTATTGAAGACAGAGAAAAGGGAGTTTGCTTTATTATGATCTGCTAGCAGCGCTGCTAACACGGAACAGCAAGGCTATTTCAGCAGCCATCATGCTCATCAGTTTTTTCTAATGTATCTACACCTAAGGCAGAAACAAATTCAGGTTGTGAACAGATATGCCTTCCATACCTTTAGTTCTTGGGCTCCTGAAAGCAAAAGCCCTTTCAAGACATAATGAAATTCCTACTTCTTAGCCCACAACAAGCCCTCAATAAATGGAAACTAAGTGAATAAAGCCCGAGCTGCCGACCAGGGCTAGAGATGGTCACCAAAACTGCAGCGTTTCTCATGCATCTGTACATCAGCTTCTTCTAGCAGAAATGAAATGTCGCTGTTTTGAGAAAAACAGCTATACCTCCCTACTCCACTCCAAAAACACAATTTAGAACAGAGCACACTTCTATAAAGAGCCACAGAATAAATGTTTTAGGCTTTATGAGTCACGTAGGTCTCTGCTATTATTCTTCTTTGCTTTTTTACAATCCTATAAAAATGTAAAGACCACTCTTAGTTCTGGGGCTGTACAAACACAGACCCACGGCAAGGTTTGGCCCACAGGCTGTACTTTGTGACTTCTGGCCTATAACATAAACAAAAGAGAACAAAAAATTGCTATTTATTTCTTTGTTTAATTTGGAAAGCAATTTTTTTTCCTAGGTGATAGGAGACACAACTGTCAGTTTAGCAAAGCAAGGGAAGAGGACAGATGCTCGGCTAAACCAGAAAAAGTGGGTATCATGATCAGGTTGCAGAATCGGGGCCCACGAGAACACCCATGGGGCCTGGAGAGGTCCGAGGTCTCAAGGGGGAGTGGAGGGCTCTCTGCAGCTCTGATGCTTTTCCTGCCACTCACTGTACACTGGCAAACAATTCCATCTCCATTTTAAAATTTAGTTTAAACATGACACCATCTCCTAAATGCTGGTGTCATTTCGTTAGGCCTTATTTCTTTTCACACTTTAAACTGTTTTCTCATTGGCCATTCCTTAAGCTCCTTCCTGGGAAGCAGCATTTTGCCTCTCCCACTGCCATATCCCTGTCTTGTCTTTTGTAGATTGCCATATTTGAAAAGCCCGTGATCATTTATTATTCATAATTTAATTTGGTTTTATTTTTTCAAAACAAACATCTCTTTTTGCCCTTCTTAAACGATATTATCTCTTTTTGCCATTAGTGAAAATGACTCCCATTCGGCAGCTCCTCGCTCCTAAGAGAATCTTTGAACTCAATCCTTCAAAACAGAAAACTAATGAAGAAAAGTGAGAATCATGAACCCACGAAGACTGCCGTCTAGACGGGCACAGGAAGACGTGCTTAAGGCCCGGATGGTGGGAGGGGAGAAGTGGCAGGGGGGAAGTGTCATCTGCTCTTCTCCATGGCCAGGGAAAGACATGTGACAGAGGCAGCTTCAGAGGCTCTAATCTAGGGAACAAGATGCTTCATGGGTCCCCAAGAATGACTCGACCAGATACCAGAGAAAGAGTGGAAGGAATAGTAATAGTCATTCAGTCTCTGAGGTGAGCTGACAAAGAACTGGCGGGCAGGGAATCAGTCTAGAAGCCACCCCAAAGCTGGGAGATGGCGCCTGTAGGCAGAGTGAATCAGCTACACCCCAGCTCAACCATGTTACTTAGTTACTGAGCTGCACAGCACCAGAAACCAAGAACTAACTTGCGTTACGTGGGTGAGCCATTCTATTTCAGTCACATCCTGTGATATTTTAAATGCCCTGTCCTAAACATAAGGACCGCCCAGCACAATTTTAACAATTCAATCACATGATGTGAAGTTTGAAAATGTAAAAAGATGTTCACCCCCAAAAGCTTTGTGTCAGTGTTTCAAACCTTAAGGGCCCCAGAAAGTACTTCACAACCATGTAACCTTGAAATGCCCTTATTACCTCTTTATTAGCTTTAAATATGTCTTTCTTGCAGGCTGCAGTAGTCCTCCATTCAAAGTAATGCACACAGTCGGTTGCAGTTACAAATTCAGGAGTTCCCTATTAAAAATAAAATAAAAAGTTACCATGCTACATATTGTAAAGTTTTCTTTTTTAAAGTTAGAAACAGCAAAGGCTAATGAAAATTTTTAAAGTAGCCAACAAGGGGGTGGGGAGTGGGCGAACCCAACAGTTTTAGTTCAGCAAGGTCATCATCAAGTTCCCAAACCCAAAAATTCTGAGACAAAGGCTTCATGAAATCATGTTGGAATTTTAGTGTAATCGGGCCAAAAACTGTTCTACTGCCCCAACTATGCAAGTACAGTAAACTCATGGGAAGTAATCCTCGGAGTCCTTCTCTTCTCAAACTCCAAATGTTCTCTTAACCAAATGCCAACAAAATCAAAGCCAGAAAACGTGACCTCATGTTTCCTGTAAGCTGAGGGAGGAGACCCATCCAAACACAACCGAGTTCCTACACCAGCCTCATTTCAGACGCCCCCGTGGAAGGCAGCTCCTCCCGACAGACTGCAACCAAGGTTAACTCCAAACAGAACCACAGACAGCATTTCTGGGTGGGACATAACATGGCAGGAATTAACCTCTATACTCCCATATGCAAATCTAAGGAGTTCTTCGCCATTCTGGTTCTTTTATGATAAACACAGAATTCTTGCAGGAAATCAGTTACAATTAAAACAGCAGCTAGCTTATTCAGTGATGCAGACCTCCATATTATATACTACTGCAAACAGATTTTTTTCCCAAGGTTTCAGCATGGGCAATAGTGCAGTTGATAGCCTGGTCCAAACTTAATGTAAGTTCTATTTTTAAAGTTCTTCAGATGACACACTATGAGCCTGAGGATACAACCGTCACAGCACCAAGTTCTAAAATGATATTTTAAAGCAATCTGGTAGCCACATGAGTTCCACCCAACCTGATTTTTCTAAACACTTGAGTTCTTACTCTGATTAGAGAACATTCATAGGATCTGTATACAAGTTGCTTTTCCTAAAAGCTAGCAATTACTTACTGAAAGTCCCTTTCTACATAGTAAAGATTAAAATTAAAAAATCACATACAATATGCAGAGAGCAAGAACAAATCACACTTTAAACCGTGATGCCCCCTTTCAACATTAGGAATACCCAAAAAGGTGGGGACCCCCCCCACTAGCCACAGGCAAAGGCCTTTCTTAGACAGATGTCCGTCTCTCCAGTTTAATGTAAATGAGGAAAGGAAAACATTTAAACACACACACACACACACACACACACACACACACACACACACTGCCTAAAACTTATCAAAATAAAATGGTGAGAGAGGAGATTTTAGAAAGAAAAAAGAATTATTCCTGCAACATACACATTAGACAGTGCTTTGAGTTTAAACACACTAATCACTTTGAATTGTAGTTTTACGCACGATGTGCATCAAGTTTCACTTGAAAGTTATAACTACAGACGTAGGGTTTTTTACTTATTGGCTCTTAATGGCGATGGTGATTTGGTTGGGGTTTCTGTTTATCTGTTTATGTTTTCAATTTTGCTCACTTATTCTTCCTGGAATACCACTGTATCAAAACTTCCCAAAGGGCAAACATTTCTAACCCAATAAAGATTATAAAGCGACTCTGGGGACTCACCAAGGTTTTCCCACACAGGAAGGTGATGCTACTCTGGACTCGGTGGTCTTTGTTTTGCTTCGCATCACAGCTAATTGTTGTGTTGAATTCCAGAAGAGTTCTGGTTGCACTTTTCAAAACAGAGTCACCTATGTGGAGAGGAAAGAGTGTGAACAAGCTATAAAATATTCACAACCATAAAGCTATTGACAAGCATAAGCAAATTTAAAGTGGCACTGTAATTCATCTAAAAGCTTATAAACTTACAAGCTGTCCCTTCCCCCAGAATTTCCCATCTCAGGAATAGCATCCCCATCCACCCAGGTCAAGCCCCAAACACATTACACTGAGTCCTCTCTCTCATTTTCCACATTCAATACATCAGACAGTCCTATCGGTTCTACCTCCATCTCAAATCCATCCACATCTCTCCATCTCTATTACTAATAAAACCACTAGCATCTCTCACCTGTACTCTGGCACCAGCCTCCTAATTGGTCCCCTTGCCTCCATGCTTGTCTCATCTCTCACCATCCCCTCTGCCCACCATCTTGCACCAGCAGTGTGACCATCAAAAATATGCATCAGAACCTATAACTCAGCTGCTGAAATTCTTAAATAACTCCCCATAATAAGTGCTATAAAATCAAAATTCTTTAGAATGGCCCAAAAGTAGGGGGATCGTGTCTCAGTTTGCCTGGGACATTACTGTAACAACCCAGAATGTAAAAATCTATAAAATGTCGATATGATGGCAGTTGGCATAGGAACAGAATAACTGACAGACTAGAATAGAGACTAGAACAGAGAAAACAGACATTTGTGCAAATCAAGCTCTAATGGGTGACGAAAGTAATGTATCAGATCAGTAGGCAAAGAAGATACTGTTTAAAAAGTGGAACTGGAAACAAAATGGCAACCCATATGGAAAAAAAAAGATAAAATTAGATCCCTACGTACCACCATAGACAAAAATCAACTCTAAATGGATGAAAAATGTAAATGTCAAAAAACAAACTTTAAAACTCTTAGTAGAAAATATAGCTGTCTTTGAGATCATTGTGTAGGAAAATAAGACTCAACAGTATTAACTACAAAAACACTGATAAATTTGCCTTGCTAAATTTAAGTTTATATTCATCAAAAAATAGCTTAAAGAAAACAGAAACAAGTTATAAACTGAGAAACGCACAGAGCTGACAAAGCACTAGCATCAAAAATATATATACTCACACACAAACAAAAAATTATAATTCTAGGAAATAAAAGAAAATGAATGACCTCTAAGGGAGAGAGCTCGAAAAGAGGAAAAAGAAAAACTCACACCTAGTCAAGGTATGGTGAACTTTAATGTCAAAGGCTAAGGGGAAATTCTAAAGCTTCTAGAAAACAAGAATAAGTCACATGCAATGGATCATTCAATATAAAACGGACAAGACATGATCAGACAGAAGAAAAACATGTGTCAATAAATATATGAAGAAATGTTCAACATCATGGGTGAACAAGGAATTGCAAATTACCAATTACCGCCATTCCATTGACAAAAAAATTAAATCCCAAATGTTAGAGGAGAGATGGTCCAGAGCTCTCCTACGTAGCTGGTGGACATGGAAGCTGGTACAGCCGCTACGTAGGTCAGCACGCACTATGCCCTACCAGTGAACATGCACGTATCCTATGACCCTCTTAGGTACATACACAAGAAAAAAAAACATGCACACATGTATAACAAGAAGCAAGTGAAAAGAACATCTCATGTTCTTCACACTAGGAAATATCTGGAAACACCACAAATGCTCACCAACAGAAGGGTGGATAAATTAACTGTGGTACACCCACACATTATATAGGAGTTAGAAGACATAAACCACAGTGAAAAGTAACAACATAGTTGACTTTTATCAATATAATACTGTTGTTAAGTCCCAAGAAAGTTAAAAACATCACATACACACAGAGAGACGCAGGGGGGCGGGAGGGGTGAGGAAGGAAGGAAGGGAGGAAGAAAGGAAAAATTTTAATCTAGGATATGGGCGAATAATTATTTCCAGTGAAGGCAGGGAGAGATATGGAGGAACACATAGATGGTGGTTGTCCAAGTCCTAATTTTTGTTAGAGATCTGGCTCATTACATTATCCAAAACAACTAATTGCAAAACAAAAAGAAAAAGGTTAGTCCACAGATTAATGATGAGTGCATATCATGAACTCAGGATTATATTTGGTCCAATTCAATACATACATCTGTAATCTTTAAAAGGGGGAGAGAGAGAAGAGGGGGGTGAAAATTAAGATGCCAATTGGAGAAAGAGTAATGGGTTTCAGAGCTGCCCCACATCATCAAGCTAGGCAGTACAGCGGTTCTTTGTCCTGCCGGCCTATGTGCAAGGGTCTGCCTGAAATTTCCGAAGTCTGTTCGAAAATCTATTTTCGGTCAAAAGGGTACAAAAGCCCGGCAGAAGCTTCGGGACCGAGGACAGCGCCCTGTGGACAGCTCCCGTAGCCCCGCCCACAGTGGGCAGGTCTAGGGCCGGGAGACGGGGCGGGGCTTCGGTGCGCCCCTGCAGCCCTGCGCTCCAGGAGACGCTGAGAGCTGGCGAGACTGGTGGGGAGCGGCGCTCGCTGCGGGCACAAGGGGGCGCTCACGGACCGCAGCCCTCCCTCCACCTTGAAGACCCTCCCCCACGCCTCCTGTCCCCCACACCGCGACCCGTTCCGGCCCTGTGCCCAGAGCTCCTGGGGCCTCCTCATAACTGCTGAGCCCACCCTGAAAAGGAAACGAGACGGTCCCTGGCCCGCGGCCGAAAGGGATCCTGCCGAGCTCTACCGCCGCAGCGCGGAGCACCGGCATCCCTCAGCATCAGGCCCCATCGGCATCGCGCCCGCCCATCCATCTCGCCTTCCTCTGCCCGCTCCGCCCAGCGGCCGAGACTTGCCGCCGACCCGGGCATTCCGGGAGAGGCCGCAGCGAACCGCGGCAGCGAACCGCGGCAACCGGCCAGCCTGGCCGTCCTCCCCGGACAAGAGCCGGGCGAGGACTGCGGGGCGGCGGCCAGCACGCCAGGCCCACGGCCAGCTCCCGAGGACGGCGCCAAATGGGCTGGGCCGCGCTCGCCGGGCCCGCCAGACCGCGCCGGGTCCTCCAGACCGCGCGCCGGGCCCGCCAGACCACGCTCTCCAGGCCGGGTCCGCCAGACCAGACCGCATTGGCGGGGCCCCACCAGACCAGACCGCGCCGGGTCCTCCAGGCCGCGCTCTCCAGGCCGGGTCCTCCAGACCAGGCTGCGCGCGCCAGGCCCGCCAGACCGCGGTCTCCTGGCCGAGCCCCCACCAGACTAGACCGCGCCGGGTCCTCCAGGCCGCGCTCTCCAGGCCGGGTCCTCCAGACCAGGCTGCGCGCGCCAGGCCCGCCAGACCGCGG